TACACTCCCAGTCATCATAAGTGAAGTTCGGCATGCCGCGCAGCAGATGAAGGAAGGAGACGCCAAAGTGAGCGACGGTATGGAAATTAAAATGATCAGAGCAGGTGGTAAAGCGTTGTGGAGGGTTCTAGCAAAGAGATTCACTCAATTCCACCTATCTGGAAGGAGTCAAAATCAGTCTGTTGCTCAAGAAAGGCGGGAAAGACGATCTGAAGAATTCTCTGCTCAGTCTGCCTGTTTCGCCATGTTTACCAGCTGTTCAATAAGACCATTACCAACAGACTATCAGCAAGTCTGAACGTACAGCAGTAGGAACAGACAATGTTCTGAAGGGACCGGAGCACAACGGATGACATTTTTACCTTAAGTTAACTCCTCGAGCTCGCGAGGAAATTTCATATCCCATTGTACATGGTATTCGTCGTCTACGAGAAAGCGTTCGACACTGTCGTGTACAACGCTGGCAGAAAAGGCATCGATGTTAGTACATCAACCTGCTGAAGGAAGCAAACTTTAGCTGCTTCCTAAATATCATGTTGTTCGGCACCCCTTCCAGATTCCCGTGGAGAAGAGCGAGAAGCAAGTGACAGCATCTACCCGAAACACTTCACTGTATATTTGGAAATGGTGTTCCGATGATGAACTGAAGGGATGAGATTAACATCGAAATAAACAGCTGAGTCACCTAAGGGTCGCTGATGACGTAATATGTTTTGGCGGAAAGCTCCAGTCAGCTTCAAGACATACAGCAAGAGCTCAAGAGAAAAAGTGCAGAAACCCAACTGCGAATCAGTCAATTAAAGGCGAGGGGTAAATAACGAGACGCTCATCTAGGCAGCATCAAGAAAGAAATCCACGCCTACTTCTTCAACAGTCTTGTCGGCAATTTTGTTTGGCTGTGAGACGTGGTCACTCATGAAAACCGAAAAGCTCCAGTCATTTGTCACTTAGAGAGCCATGGAAAGAAGAACGTTGGGAATCTCACGTTGCAACTACATCCCCAAGAGGGTTACCAGACAGCGTATAGGAGTGAAGGTTGTTGCCGTCCAACGCGGAAGGAAGAAGTATCGGGGATCGTATCTTGGCTAGCCGACGGGAAATGGTCGCAGAATTGGACAAAATGTCAACCTGGACAAAGGACAAATTTTTACGCGGATTGCCAAGCCTTATCAAGCTCGTGACTCATAAACTACTTAACTAGCAGCATGGACTAAAGGCATATTTTTGGCTCCAAACGCCACAACAGCTGTGGATTATACAACCAACTGCAGAATCATTATCAACCTCCACCGCCTTGAAGAAGGCTCGTAAGAAACGAGTCGAAACGTCGGTACCGTTAATCCCGACTGACTAAATTATTTGCTCGCATTTGGTATAAATAAACCGTTTTAAGCATTTTTCAATTTTGCATTCTTAGCGAGAACGCATAAATAAATTATTCTACCGTGAGCTTGAATTTCTGACTGTAAGCTTCTACTGTCTGTATCGTTTTCGTGATGCCTGGTGTGCTATAATGGTATTTTTAAATATATTTTTAATTCGCGAAGATATATGACACACCAGTAACATAACAACTTTAAACTTCCATTCAGACGTGCGAAGAAATAAACTGAAATTGAGGTCAAGGCTAATTTTCGTGGATTTTCCAAATCTGGCAACCCAAGATGTACCCTTTATGTCATCCATCATCTGCTGTGCAGATCTTCCTTTCTTCTTGCTCACAAGGCACCATTCTCCATCAAGAATTAGACGGTCCTATGGCTTGCGTCATACATTCATTGAAGATCAATTCGACGGAACCTTGATCATTCCATTCAGAGATTTAGTTAGTTTCCTTTTCTTAGACAAGACTCCTTCTAAAGCATCAGAAGCTCTGTCAGCTCCTATTATCGGAACCTTGTAAACGGATCGTTTTGAGGTCACGTCAGTTTTTCTGGCTGCTGTAGCGATCCAGAGTACACGCTCCATCGTACCCTGTCGTGTCGTACAACAGCGTACTGCAACCATTGCCTCTTTTATAAGGGCGGGACACTGGGATTGGATTATAGTCAGCATGATAAGTGACCAGGAGCTTCGTTTCCGGAAACGTGATTGGATTCGCTAAAAGAGTTTACGTTGTCGTTGGTAGCAATTCATGTGACTCTTGCTGACGAGTATCGAGGGTGGGGTCGTTATTGGAAGATCGTCGTAATTTATTTCGCGCCGGTGAGTAACCTTTCACATCTAATCAACATGCCCGAAGGTTTTGTTCGCAAATAAACGAAGATAAAAGTTGTTCGTGTAACAGTTTGTTGTCTGAAGCGTGTCATTCACAGGCAATATAACAGGTAGTTTCGCTAGAGCCACGCAGATCGTGGAAGTCAAGAGTGATGGAATCAACGATGGAGGCAAAAATTTCGAAACTTGCAGAATCGTGGAGCCGATCTTCGCGGCTGGACAAACTTCTCGTGGTTATTAAAACCGGTAAAAGTTTTCTTACGGACTTGGAGACGTTGGAGTTGGGCGACGTGTTTTCCGTGCTGTTAATTCTGCAAAAACTGGCGCCTAAAATAAAGCGTTGTCAACGAGAGAAGTTCAACGTTGTTCTTTGCTTCGAGGCATCTGAAGCTGAAGCGGTGAAAAACTGGAGAGACCTGAGCACGGTCACATACCAGCAGTGTGACCAGCTAGTATCGGCAGTATGTAGGCTGAACACGTTCCAATCAGGAAAATTTATAGTTGTTTCCGAAGAGCCCCTAGTGCGGTTAGCGGCTGTATTTCGGGAAAAATATGCGTTTCAAGGCCTATTGCCAGACGATGTAGCAAAGTACGTAGACAAGGTGGCGATGAAGGTGAGCGCAGAAACACACAAAATCGATGTTGCGCCGTATGTGCAATTAGA